AAAAGGGCCCAAGCAGCAAATCACGGCCCCTGCAGCCGCGCCAGGCTCAGCCGCTTGGCTGGGCTCCCCGGCGGCCGGGCCGCGGCCCTCCCTCCTTCCCTCCTCCTCACGCTCCTGCAATCCAGCTGCGACGCCGAATACCAGGGCGCGCGACCAAAACCAGCATCGGCGCCGGGAAAGGGCAAGGCGCTGCCCTGCTGGCGACGGGGCGGCCGGAGGAGGGTGGCCATGGGCGAGCGCCCCACGTCAGCGGAGCGGCCGCGCGCAGGGAGCCCTCGCGCCTTGGCCGGCCCTCAGGAATGTCCCTTTGTTTGGGCTGCGATTTGGGAGCGGGCCGGAGGGAGGGAGGGTGCAAGATCCCCCAGGGCTCAGGGTGGGAGAAGGGGGGGACAAGTGGCGCGCACAGCATGGCGCTCCCGCAAAGCCCCTCCGCAGCGGATGCCCTTGGGACACAGCCGGGCTGGAGCCCAGGGTGCCCTCGCGCATCGCCCGTCCCCAAAGCTACCCCAGGGCTCTGGCCCCACTTACCTGGGCACGCACAGGACCCTGCGCCGAGCGGGCACCGGGGGCCCCGTGGGGGCTGGGCACGGGGACATGGGGACCGTGGCCTCACGCTGCCCGGGGCCGCGGGCAGCTGCGCCCGGGCTGCTGGTTTAAGCCGTGGCTTCTGATATTTGTGATTGGTTTCATAATCCCGATGGAAAGGAAATCACCAGGATTATGAAATTGTTTTAATCCCCCCGGCTCCAGCCGCGCCTGGCCCCGCTGCCACGAGCGAGCAGCAAGGAACCTCTCGCATCTTCTTAAAACATCCTCCCTTGCCCGAGCGGTCCCGGCGCTGATGCTGCTCCCAGCCCACGACGGACACTCCAATTTCCGGTGCTGGCCCAGCCTCGCAAATCCCATCACAGCTGGGAAAGAGCCTGTGGGTTTCACTCCCTCCGGGGCACAGCGCGCCATGGAGACCCACCAAGAGGGGCCTGGGAGCATCAGTGCGAAGGCACCCGGAGAGCAGCCGGGCTCCGGGGAAGAACGCGGCCCTGGGGGACGCACAGCAGGGCAGCCGTGTCCCCCTCCCATCCCGTGAGCAGGGGACGGGCCTGTCCTGCCTGGGCCACGCAGTGCTCGCTGCAGAGCTGCCGCGAGATGCAACGCAGGAGAGCAGGCGCAGAGCGGGGAAAGTGCGGGCTCCCCCGGGCCGGGACGAGCCAGTGCCAGGGCATCACCCGAGGATGCTCCACGCGCTTGGGCGCGGGCAGGGAGGTGAAGGAGGAGCACGGACTGAAGTGCAAATCTCCAGGGAGATGTGGAGGGAAGGACACCCCGGGGGCGACGCGAGCAGGAACAGGCCTGGATTAATTTCAAGGCGGTGGCTCTTTTCTGGAGGAAGATTGATTGCAAGAGCCGCCGAGGGATTTAACAGAACAAAATGAGAACACAGACCCCAGACAACCCGGCCCGGGGAGGACACCGCGGGCCACCCAAGGCTCCGCTGGGGACCAAGACCTGCTTGGAGGTGCCGAGTGGCTGGTGCCCACGATGTCCCCTTGGAGAGCAGCAGCGAGGAGCAATGTCCCTGCCCAAAGCGAACACCTCCTCCGTGCAGCATGCCAGGGGAGGCAAAAAGGACACACAGACCGGTGACGAAGGAGCCATCCCACCACCATTGGAAAACAAAGAGCTTGTAATAATGAAAAAAGGACAGATTCAGTAACCAATCACTTTTTCCTTTTAAAAACACAATCACAGTAACTTTGCTTTATACAACCACCTAGAAACTATGAAACAGTATCACATTGTGCATTTTTTTTAAACCTACTAATCAAGAAGGGTATTTCCACACTTCAAAATTATATCCATTTGGGAGGGAAGGAGGAGACAGCAAATAGCGCAGTCACAGATACATCATGAGTCCAAGCAAGCAGCAAGTCTTTGTCCTCACCTTTTCCACTTAGCCAAAAAGAAGAGTGGAGAAGGGGATAGCAAGAGAAGGGAGGAGGAAAGAAAAAAGCACCCACAGAGGACTAATCACACTCCATAATTATTTTTGACATCTACAAGTCAGGGCTTCGCAGGATAATCATTTAGACCAACAGAGCAGGGAGAGGGGGAGAGGAAGATGGCAGTGGGACAAGGGGGATAGAGCCAAAGGCTTTTCCACCCCGGGTCCCTTCCAAACACTGGTCATTTGATAGGAGGAGCTACAGGATAGTGAGATAGTCACAGACGCCACCAGGCCCCACATTGACTGCCTGGGGCAAGGAGGTCACCCTCTGGCTGCCGGAGCTTGGGCGATCTCGACGCCACAGGGTGGCCCTGGCCGCTGCACCAGGACTGTGCAGGGGGCACCTGGGGTCGGGCCAAACTCCTGGGGCCGCTAGGGCCAAGTTCTGCAGATACCGAAGACCCTTTGCTCTTCTCCCCCTCCCCAAACCGCACTTCTCTCGCGGTTCCAGCGCTGTCCCCAGGGACGATGACCCACAGCAGTGGCAGTACCGCGTGCTGAAGCGCAGCGTGCCGGCCAGGCGGATGCATCGCGCGAGGGGGCCAAGTTCCACTGCAGAACCACCCGGAGCAACTAGGCTGGGGAAGAGCAACCGCAGGGATCTTCCCTAGGAGCCCTGGCCCCTTCCCGAGGGGACAAACCAAACCAATGGCCTTGTAGAATAAAAGCTGAAATGAAAAATGTTTAAGGTGGGAGATTCCTTACCCCTGTGAGCGCTACCCAGAACTGTGGAGGACGCGAGGCTGGAATGCGGCACTCGAGGAAAACGGGCTCCGCATTTCCAACACAGCAAACCAGCACCGGCACCCGGGGCACTTCCAACACGGCGGCAAAGCAATGAGCACCCAGCAGCAGCCCTACAGGGTAAAGTCGGATTTCCTTGGCTGTCTGGTACCTGGACGGAGTTGGAGTCTTTTACCACCTCCATTGCTTCTCAGAAGACCTGCAGTACAATCCCAGCCACTTTTCTCTCCTGGCCCGAACAGCACACTCCACCCTCACCTTGGACACGGCCACAGCGGCCGAGTCCCAGCAGAAAGGCTGCGGCCCAGCCCACCAGGGAAGAAAGAGCAGCCCCGTGTCCTATGGAAAGGACCAAGCTCGCTGCTCCCCAGGACACCTTTGTGCTGATGGTTCCATGCCGAGAGCTGCCCGTCTCCTCTGCACACCATTTGTATCATCTTCAAAAAACAGCGAGGGAAAAAGACGGCCACAAAACAAGACCGGCTGGGAGGCGTAAGATGAGCGGCCAGCTTTTGGAGAAAACGCCTGCATTTGAGAAGCAGGTGCTTATTTGGTATGTGCACTAGTGATGAACGCTTCAAACATGCTTGTCAAGACGTGGTGGGAAGCCAGCGGCTCAAGCTGACAGAAGGAGCCCAACACAGGCTGACCCAGTTTCTACCTTTTCTTGCCAAATCCAGTTCTGTAAAGCCAAAACCCACCCTATGACTACTAAGGTTTTGTCTTCCCTCCAACCCTCACAGCTTCATTGCTCCTTCCAGAAGGATTCATCTGCGAGACCAAGGCGTCCCTTTCTGCAGAGGAGGGGAGGACATGGCTTTTGACGACTATTTGCTGGTGATGCAGCCCCAAAGCAGATTCCAAATTCCCATTTCCGTTCTGTTTGCAAAGCCCTTGCATGGAACGAGCCATCCTAGGACGACCGCCTTCTCTCGCTCCTGTTTTGCAGATCGTTCTCAAGGAGCAAAGGGCCAATTTTCTATCGCCATCTGCTCCGATATATCACATTTTATTGGCCAGATGTTACTGCAGACTCAGAGCCATCCTGTTTTCAGCGCTAGCTCTCGGGAGGAGGCTTCACTCCTCATTTCTCAGAAATCTCTGGCAGGTAGGGAACACACACCGCAGCGCCAGGGAATCGCGTTTCTTTTAAAGCCCTGCTTCCAGGAATTCAGGCTACTTTCCTCAGAGAGAACACCTTCATTGCCAAAAGGGACAATGTCTTATTTTGGGAGATAACATTCGCTGTAGCACATCTCCTCCCCTTTTTCTTTCTTTCTTTTTTTTTTTTCTCCTGGCAGAAAAGAAAGGAAAGAAAAAAAAAAGGAGGGGGAGGGAAGGAGAGGGAAGGAGCAGGGAAGAGGAAAGGTCAAAGAAGCAGATCGACAGATGGAAATCCTGCATTCCATAAGGATTTGATAAACCACAGAGTAAGAATTTAATCATTTGCAGCTCGATCCTTCCGTTCAGGATAGGGATCAAAGCGTAAGACCCTGCACTGCTGCTCGCCCACGGGAGCCACAGGCCCCCAAAACACAACCTCCATTTCTGTACAGAATGTATCCCTTGCTTCAGCAACAGCATTTCTTTCTTATTATTTTTGGATTGCTCCCCTTGGCGTGGCTCCCCTCCTCTCAAAACACCCCGGGTAAGTACGGCTTCGCTCTCCTCCAGCAGCTCTTGCTCGCCAAAAATTCCCCACCTGGTAGCGTCCGCGTCGGAGCGCGCCCGTTCCCGCTTTGAACGTGGCAACAACTGCTGCGATGCCAATGAAAAACAGCATGTGGAGGGGCTTTGTACCCCGACCTCTGCTTCCACATGCACAGGGCCCTCTGCCCTGTCGCTGCCCGTGCGTGGGTGCCCAGGAGCCGCGCGCCCTGCGAGCCGCGCGGCACCACACGCTCTTCAGCTCCTCCGGTACCGCGACGCAGGCAGCGGGTCCGCGCCGGCAGCGGCGTTTCCTGCAGGCCTCCGAGCTCCTCGCCGCGGTTG